CGTTCCTGAGTAGCTGGGATTAGAGGCATGCACCACCACTTATACACTGTTGGTGTGATTGTAAATTCGTTCAGCCATGGTGGGAAGCAGTTTGAAGATTTTTCAAAGAACTTAGAAAAGAACTACCATTCAACACAGCAATCCCATGACTGGGTATATCTGCAAAGGCAGATACATCATTCTAAAAAAAAAAAAAAAGTCACTTCACTTGTATGTTCATCACAGCACTATTCACAAGAGCAAAGACATGGAATCAACCTAGATGCTCATTAACAGTGGATTGGATAAAGAAAATGTGGTACATATACACTGTGGGATACCACTCAGCCATAAAAATGAATGAAATTATGTCCATTGCAGTATCATGGATACAGCTGGAGGTCATATCTAAAGCACATTAAGCAGAAACAGAAAACCAAATACCACATGTTCTCACTTACAAGTGGAAGCTAAGCACTGGGTACACATGGACATCAAGATGGAACAATAGACACTGGGGACAACCACAGAGGGGAGAGAGGGAGAGGGACAAATGCTGAAAACCTACATATTGGGTCCTATCTGGGTTCTGGGGATCATTCATACCCCAAACCTTAGCATTGCACAATATACCCATGTAACAAACCTGCACATGTACCCCTTGAATCTAAAGTGAAAGTTTTTAAAAAATCTCATGGGATTCATTGGAGCAATTAAAAGAGGTTGAGTCCATCCATGCCCCATTCAAAATCAAGGAGTGGCTCACAAATGCTCTGGTCTTAGAGTTTCATTATGGGTTTTGTGATACAACACAAACAGGCAGAAGGGAACTGTATTCAATGTACTTGAAACGAACCGTCGCATATAAAACAATACCATTTGTAGCCAGGCATGGTGGCTCACGTCTGTAATCTCAGCAGCACTGTGGGAGGCTGAGGAGTTCAGCAGATCATTTGAGGTCAGGGGTTTACATGCCCACCAACAGTGTTTGAGGGTTCCCCTCTCTCCACATCCTCACCAGCATTCAATATTGCCTGTCTTTTTGACAAAGTCCTATTTTAACTGGGGTGAGATGATATCTCATTGTGATTTTGGTTTGTGTTTCTCTGATGATTAGTGATGTTGACATGCCCACCATGCCTTTGGTTGGCCTTAGCTCAATTATACATCTAACATTGACATGACTAAAATCGTCCCTATGAAGCCAATAGTGCCACTGGTATCATGTAGAAGGATACAAGACACGAAACACCGTGTGCCAGCAGACTGGTATCATGCCTGTGTCTTTAGCAGGAGTCCTCACAGCTGTCCACACTTCAGTCCAGGGGCTACTCTCTGGATTCTGCTCCCCAAGTGACACCTCAGGTGCAAAGGAACAAGGTCACGTGGGAGGGCACAGGGCTACCCGGCTTAGAAGCCTGTGTCTCAAAAAGGAACTGAGATTTCTTTTAACAGTCCCATGGTCAAAGTTTTCAAGAGTCCCAGCAATGGACATGCCTAGTTACAAACACCACTGCACTCAGGGAAACCCAAAGTATGGTTTACCTCTTGATTTTTTCTCCAAAGTAAGCCACCAAAAAGTTGACCATAGACTCCAAAACATTTCTAACAATAGCAAAACCAACTGATGGCAGACTTCAAAAATTGCAATTACTCTTCTCTAACTCTAGACGCCCCCATTGTTTACAATTCATTCATAGCTCTCCCAATTCAGATAATGATGACCAACTATGGGCCATTTTTATATGTAGTCTGGTAACCCAACACAGATGACATTCCGCCTTTTCCAGGTTTCCAAGGGAACCAACTCAGAAAGTTAACCCAAGTTCACATTTATTTCTACAGAAAGATAAAAAAACTTTTGTAACTTTATTCATGCATATGCAATACAAGGGTCAGTGGACTTTCTGAGACACCTTCAACCTCACTGACAAAATTTCAAGAGCTGTGACAAACCTTAATGTCAAACCAAGACTGATTTTATAGCAGAACTGCCATCACATCTGTCAGCTGGATCTGCCATGTTGTGTCGTATCAACTGCTTCCCCATGTCTCTGAGTTGTTGAAAGTATC